ACGTTTATTCTTTCATGTTGATTATAATTATCGCCTCTGATTAATCCTGTTGTATAATTATCTTTAATTAAAGGGTTTTTAACACTTGCTATTTATTTCTGCGAAATGATTCAAGGGAATATTATAATTTAATAAAATATAATAAACAACACAGTCTATACTAGTAGTATTATTTAGATTTTTGTTATGTTTTTATTCATTTACAAGTGTTACGTTTTTAAGTAGTTAAAATTTAACATAAACTTTGTTCGATCTTTAAGTTCTTTTTTTATTTTTTCATTTATAAATTTTCAGTTTATATCAATTGGAAAATAATAGTTTTTACGAGCATAGAATATTTATTAGACGTTTATTTAAACTTTGATATGAAAAATAGACTTAAAATTAGATTTCAGTAATGTAAATTAATAAAATAATTGCGATAATTATGAAATTATTTTACAGTGACGTACAAATGAAACTTTTCCCTTTTCAATAGAGTTGTAATAATAAACGCTGTAACTTATCATTAAACATGTAACTCATTACTGAAGTAAGTAATTCATTATTCGAACATATTCATGTGTCATTGTTTTATTCATTTTCATACGTGAAAGCTTGTTATTCGAAATGAAAAAGGAGTAGCTTTTATATGACCAACAGAGTTTAAAATAATAACAAGAAGACATATTTTTACGTAACGTGGCGCGAAATGGGTTGAAGACAAATTAGATCGTACTCTCCTCGGGACTCTGCTGTCGGGATGCTTTTTCTTCACAAAATTCTGATTGCCCGGGGAATAATTTTCCCAGAAAGACGTTTCGAAGGGATTTGATTTTCTAGAACCAAGGCTGGAAGCTCGTCGATCATTCGATTTCACGGAGCAGTATGAGTTTCCTGCAAACGTCCCGCCCAATTCTGTTTTTTTCTCCCCTCTTTTCGCCGATTTTTACTTCCGTTTGTTTCTCTTTTTCTCTCTTTCTCTCTCACTCTGTCCTCGGTTCTCCCTTCTTCCCTCGTCTTACTATTAAGCTGAATCTCCCTCGTTTCTGTGTCACGGCAGCTCTTCCTGCGGGACGTCCGACACGGCTGTCCGTGTGTTCTTTTGATTTATCGACCTTAATTAGTCGCTGGATTCTATGAAAATTGCTAATGCCCAGCACTACAGTCGCGGTTTCTTTGCTTCTACCTTGTACGCGTCGCCTGGTGGAATTTGCCACGAATCGGTTAGGATTGTTTGTCAAAAGACTTGGATCGATTAATTTTGAGCACTTCAGACTTCACAAAGGAATATATAGATATATTCCTTTGCAAATGTCGGCTATAGGTATGAAATTAATGTATGTCTGAAAAACTACCTTAGAATTCCTATTATACTTTAGAAAATTTTCTCATCAAGATCCATCGAATTAAAAAAGATTCCTATTTATTTTAATTTCGAATTAATAGCAAAATTAGACTGTAGAATATTTCTGTGACTAGATTTCACACCTTGGTGAATTCTTATTCGTTCGTCGCCTAGTCGAAAATTACCGGGTGAATCGCATCGAGAACTCGAAGAAAACTTTGATTCGTTGTGCCACGGGGGATTTCGGCGCGGGCCGTTTCCGCGCGCGTGATAAAATCCGAAGGAATCGGCACTCGCCTAGGAAACTTCTCGAGAGTTGATCCCGTCCAAGTTTTTGCCTCCCCCCTCGACTCGATCCGTTTATGGTTTGACTGCCCTCGGATGGCACTTTAGGGAAATAGAGGAGGAAAGCCACCGTTAACGTTCGGCTCTATTGGCAACCGGTAGAGCCTATTGTGTATTATTAGCCAATAAAACCCACTTGCTGTTTGCTCGAGACACGCGTGAATGCCTCCCTTCGAACTCCTCTTCTGCTTTCCGAACCATTTCCATTCGCTTTGTTGCATTTCCTTTTATTTTCTCACTTGACAACTCGCTTACTTCCTTCCACGGTTCGAGGGTGTCGTCGTCAGTTAATCCCGTGGACGATTGTAGATCTTTTTAACACGTTAAGATCTGATATGATTGTATCGGTATATATACAAAATAATAGATTTACTCTCTGTATTTTATTATTATTATTTTTCATTCTGTAAAATATTCTTTTTTATTTTTAATTGAAAATATGTCTAATTGACAGATTTTGGACATTAATTGGAAGAAGAAAAAGAGATTAATTTTCAATAAATGTAAGATGGGATTCTAAAACTTAATTAAAGATTGATTTCTTGTTATAACATTGCATTATACTCGTGGTATGTTTAAAATTATGTTCAAAATTCGACACAGATAGATTGCACTTGTAACGGAATTTAATTTCAATTCTGATTTTTTTTTCAATTAAGAGTTTCAAATAAGATAATTATACGCAGTCAGCTATAGAAGTTTACATATACATCTACATACAGTTTCAGATATTTGAAGCAGAAACAAAAGGGTTTCGAACATTTCAATTAATTTCTCACTTACATTCAGAGTTACATCATTTTTAAAATATTTTAAAAATTTCGCGGAACTTCAATTAATAAATAAATTAATCCCATAAAATATTTAAAATCCTTATTTTACTTTAGATATTTGATTAAATTTGCAGAATATATACGTTCAAATATTTTGTGTCAGACGGTGTTACTAGAAGAACTATAAGCCAAGATAATCGTAGCACGTAGTATCGGTAGCCAGGAGTGCAGTCGTAGATTTCGGCTTGTAGGAAAGCGTGTAATCGTTTCTAGGAAGGAGGAGAGGAAGGTCGATGGTACAGCTACTCCGAATGAATTCAAATGTCCACCCTTGGACCTCCAATTACGGAACGGTGCATGAGGGTGCACGATAGGATCGTTTGCTATCGAGTTTAATCGGAAATACGGCGAACCTAAGCTAATCAGGGATGCGTAGGGCTGACTGAGAATCACCGACTACCGGGGACGTCCCTTTTCCAAGTCTTTTAACCCTGCCTCGTCGTCGCGTTCCGCTAAATCATCCCTCTCGAAGATCGATTGGTTATAACTTTCCGGGCTGCGTTGAATTTACTTCTTATTTTTAACTTTTTCTTCCATTGCACGTATTTTCATTTTCGTCTACAGTCCTTTGATATTCAATTTGATTTTACACGGGATGTATTAGATATACTGCGTGTCGAGTTGTTTTTTTTTTTTTTTTTTTTTTGAAAGAATGTCTTTTTGAGAAGGATCGTCCAAGAGGTTTCTATATATTATTCATCGCAAATTTTTTCAACAGGGTTCGTATTAAAGACTTGTGGTTCAATAGATAATTATCGTTACGTTGCTACAATTTTTGCCAATAATTCGAACTTTTCTCGCACGAGTGCAAAATTCTTTCGAGAATTTCAATTAACCGCAGATATCCTAACGCTAAACTCGCGGAGCGTTTACGGCTACTCGAGTTTCCACAAAATGGCTCTCCTTCCTCGAAAGAAGGGAAAAGAACGTCTCGTTCGTTCCACCGAGAATCTGGAAACTGGCTACACCTAGTTTGGGACAGGGTCGTCGACCGTCGGGGGTCATTGTTCGGTGTGGGTGGTGGTGGTGGTGGTGGTGGCGGCGGCGGCGTTGTTCTTACCGAGTGTGTTCACGTGGACGAACGCGATACCAGGATCGGGCCGGTACTCTCCGGCAATTAGGGCCGCGGTGACGGAGGGTGGTGGACATTCGAATTCATTCGAGGTCAGAGCGTTCCTCGAGGGGGTTTACCCAGCGCGCAGCCCCTTTAGCGGAAAACTGTCTGAACATGACGTAACGCTCGTGAAAGCCCGGGGCCGGATAGGAGCCTGGTTCGGCCTGGTTTTTGCGCTGTCCGGCCAGCAACAATGGCCGCTTCTTACGGCGGCTCTGGTCACCGTATATTATTAATTACTGTATTAATCTCGCCGACCGTAAGCAATCTATTATACACGAGGATAAGAGCCAACGAGAGCCGGCAGCGTCGTCAAAACCGCCCACCTCCGGCCGGCCTCGGGTGCTCCCACCCTCTTTTACCACCCCACCTCGGGATCTGGTTCCTCTTGTGACTTTGTAACTTCGTCGTCGCTTCAGGGGCTGGTGTCGATGTAATCTGACCTACGACGGTGTTAACGGAGGGTGGCTTCGGAAAAGGGTGTTAAAGGAATCTTGAAATTGGCCGTGGTGTGACCAAGCGTCTCACCGGCGCTTGACGCTCTTGGGACGAAAGGGGTGGAGTTATTAAGGGGATCGATTCCGCGAAAGTGTCGGAGGGCTGGCGCGCTAGATTCTGAACGCAGATTAGTCTCTGAATTTCCTTTTCTTTCGTCGGTTTGGAGAGGATTTGTTTTTTAAAGATTGTGTTTCGCCTATTTTCAAACCTCGTTCTTTTGAAGTTGTCGTGTGGAAGTTGAATGAAGACTCGTTTCATCCTTTATACGAGTATTGCGTAAGGGTGATTGAATAATATTCGTAATGCAATATATAGATAAAGTTTATTTGAGCAACGATATAGTTCTTACAAAAATATTATTTTTTAATTGTCTTATTCATCGATTTGACCAAAGTCGATGAGTAATGTATGCACAACGTGAAATAACGTTACTATATTTCTATATAGTTATTTTACTTTGGAATTATAACTATATTGTTTTACCAATACATTTAAATTATAAATATTAGTTAAATTTCCCAATGAAATTTAAATTATTAAATATAAATTTTGTTGTTGATGTCAATTTCTAAATCCTCTCGGTGATTCCTACAGTTACATACGTATAAAACCAAAACACACACGTTCTCTACGAAATACTTGGATTTCCAATATCACTACACACTTCTAATTTCTTTGGCTAGAGTATATTAGTACATTATTTATAGAAAGGACTGTAATGAAATATCTGTCACTATTAGCTGAAGAATATTAAACTAAATTAAACGAAATACAAGTATCGTAGAACTCGCAACGCCTATTCAAAGATCTAACAAATTCTCCAACCGTCACCTCTAGAAATCGATATTATTCCTACAATGATATTTCTCCCTTTGCATTTCAGGTTTGTGCGCGTCGTGTATGCTGGCGAGAGTGGAGCAAGAACGTCTGGAGAGCCTAAAGTACGACAGGGCGACGATTTATATAAAGTGCGTGGAGGATAACGAGGACACGAAGCCGGAGAACGATTCGGAGGTTAGCGATTGAATAAAAATCCATAGATTCGATCCTCTCCGATTCAACGAACGAACCGTTCAGAACCGCTCAGAGAGAGAGAGAGAGAGAGAGAGAGAGAGAGAGAGAGAGAGAGAGAGAGAGAGAGAGAATGTTATATTATGTGAAGAGTGAATTATTCGTCCCGAGACGTAGTGACAACGGATTTTTGTTAATGGACAGACGTGCCGAGTCACCAGAGTGTCTTGGAACCGGCCCACCGGTTCAGATTGATGTCGGCCGATAAGGAGATTGGCCTCATCTCATTCATTTCACGATAATAATCGTCATTAAGTTTCCACGATCTTAGAGCAGGCCAGCTGCTCCTTTTCTTCGCCCTCGTTTTGCTTTCTTTCTCTGTTTCTCGAGCGTTGAAACAATAGTCGAGTGGTCACGAGCCCGAGGAAGACGTTCGAAACCGACACACACGATTTCATGATGTTCAAATAAATTTTTTGATCGCAGGTGGTTGCGAAGAAACCGAAGATGGAGAACACGAGGCCGTCGAGGACTAGGCGGAACTTGAAAGGGTCGCACGAACTGAAAGTCTCGTCGGAGATCACGTTGAAGGAGCTGAAACTTATGGTGAGTGTGCGTCTTATTTCTTGCACGAAATTTGGCGTGATACGTTTATTCATATTGTCAGGATTTTATTTGTTATTTACGAGGGGAAGGATTTCCAGTTCTGCGATCACGATTTTTTAACTTTTCGTCGTTTCACTGAACAATTGAGCAAACAATAATTTGCTAGATTTCGACACGTTCCACGATGACAGATTCGCGGGATAATTGAATGAAAATTACTCCGCGAATGTTTTACGAGGGTAGCACAGTCAAGAGGAGAGAGGAAGAGAGAGTTCCTCTTAAAATCGGACACCCTGTAAGCAGGTTGTTCCTTTGGTTCGTTCGCTCGGTGGACGAAAGTAGTAAAGCAGTAGTTATGGCTGGTTAGCATATGCCCGAGCCACGGCCGTGTGCTTAAACTATTAAGCGTATTTATATTGCGAGGCTGCGGCCATCTTCTTCTATACTTCAGCGAGGCCGCCGGCAAAAACTCGAAAGAGCATAAACCTCGCGCTAATAACAGGCCTTCTCTGCTTCACTCCACTTTGCTCTACTCCAGCTCCCTTCCCTAACGGTGGCTGTTCAATTCTCTATTTTTCTCTTTCCTCCCGTCGTGTCCTCTTTCTCTCTCTTTCTTTCTCTTTGCTCTCGCTACGAGAATTTTCAGTGCAATTCAGTTCGCGCGAAGGCTGCTCGCCTTCGAAATTATTGCTGATTGCAATTGAAGACTCGTGCGGATGGATTTAGATATTCGGATATGTTATATATAGTTTTATTTTGTTGCTTTGAATTTTATCTGCTGTTACGTATAGGATTGTTGTTTCTTCGTTAAAAGTAAATTAGTTTTTACGTGTTTTATATTTATAATGAAAGTTTAAGGAGCGGAACGGGATAAAATTTTAATTAATTTTACGAAACTAAATTATAACTGATAGAAGAGGAATGAACAGTATAATCGTATATATAAGAAAATGATCAAAATTACAATTTCCCCCGGAAGCTTCTCGTAGGCACGCCTGTGTTTTATCGCGAGCAGAGGGATGAACGAGAGAAGCAATCTACCCCGAGTAGCAGCCTCTCTCAGCGAGTTAACGAATTTTTCTCACCGAGTTTCCCCGCAAAAAGCCACGCCGATCAAAAAAGAGGAAAATCGGGTTCGTCTCATTGTCAGTTTTACCGCAATAATTCTCGCAGTCTGCCAGTAGTAAAACTCTTAAATTTAAGCCGACGTGTCTTTCGCGTCTACGTTTCATTCTTCGACTGAAAAAGAATCTTAAGTTAATCGACAAGATGCTTCGATCGAAAAGATCCTTAGACGATACTGGTTGGATCGCCGATTTGTTGATGATACACTTTTTGACAGAAACGATAGTTGTCGGTTGGTTTTTATCGGCTGGCAAAAATCCATGAATTTCATGGTCGGACGCAGAGCGAGCAAGCAAGCAACTCGGAACAATAGTCGGGTGCGCTTTTACGTAATTGTCGTAACGCCGATTACCTTCTGTAAATATTACTTTCTAGTCACATTCTGTGTCAGTAATTTTGCTTTCGGTTTTGTTCTTTTCGCGATTCAAAACTTGTCGCGATTGATCCTTTTTTGTATTTCGTAACCGTGGAGTTGGAAAAGTCGGCGTTATTTGGGAAAGAAAGGGAATAGTTTGGGAAACTGGTGCATAGTTATAATCGAAAGTTTAGAACAAAGAAGAAAGAGTCTTGAAATATTATCTTTGGTACGTACAAGGTCCTGTTTTCTTTTTTTTTTTTTTGTTAGTTCGATCTATTAGGAATATTATTTAGAAAAAATAAGAATAAAATTTTTTTCTAATAATTATTACAGGTACTATCGTATCAACGATGTTGTTACATTCTCTATTTAAAGGAATAGTTTACTAGGATTATATATTATTTGATTATATATTATTTGAAACAGTGAAATACAACGGAAGCAATAGAATTTTATATTTTATATTATTTATTTATTTATCATTCTTATTTCTTTTCTCAAGCCTTATATTATTTTTATTATTTTCTATTTTTCGTCATATTATTTATACAACATGATTATGAAATATACATTCAGATCAAGTTGTCTGAGTTTGTAATTCAAGTATCAAAGTAAATATTGTTTTATACTTATACCAAATATTCCAACGTATCAAAGAAAGGTAAAATAATAGTTCATAGAACAACTGGACAAATTTTTCGACTTCTTTCCTTTCTACTTCGCAACCTTGTTAAACCGATCTCTATTTATCGGCCTGGTCGAGCACCTTTCCTGCTCGGAGAGTATCTTAACGAGAGAGCATCAGTTTCTTGACCCAACCAATCATTTCTCCTCTTCTCTTTGGTTATTTTTTACTTTTATTTTTCTTTCGCTTTCTTTTTTCCCTTCGGTAAACACTGGTATTATCCCGTAACTTTCGTCACTTCAGCTTCTCGATGGAGTTCTTTGTCAAGGTTTTCAGGTTTCAAATTAGAGACTGGAGGGATTTCTTTCCGGAGGATTCTGCAGTTCAATGTTCAAAGATCGTTCTTCGACGAATGTCCATTCGAAGAAATATCGTTCGAAGACTGTCTATTTGAAGGTACAGGATGTTTGTTCGTCAGAACAAGCTACGCGGATTCATCGGTGTGTGTATGTGTGGGCGTGTGCGTGTGTGTAACGGAACTAATTTTTGGAATTTAAAATCAATTTCATAGAAGACGTTTTTGCTACGTCACCGTCAACTCAGTCAGCCCACAGAGATTTCTAGGTTTTATAAGAAACCGTTCTTTTAGAGCTCGATTTAAAGTTCTCAATGGTAGAACGCCATTCAGCTCCGAGAGTATACTCGTTTTCTGCTATTTGTAGTTCAAACTACAAATTTCCAGTAATACGTAAAGCTGTCTTTGATCCTTGCTCGTTCCTTGCGTTGATCTGATGGATAGTAAAAGATAAGTCATTCGGTGGATTGTGATTTATTATTTAAAAGAATTTACGAAAATTGAACTTATTCATAAATAACAACAATACTTTATTAAATTGATAAATAGAGAAATATTACTTACGCGTTTTAAGCTGGAATATTATTTTATCTACTTAATTCACAATATTTAGTAATTAAACGTTATACATGAAATTCTGATTACAAATTGTACAATTTCCCCATCTCTTTTAATAATTTCATTTTTAAATAAAATTTTCGGCAATATTATTATATACGGCTTTCTCATTTTCTCTCATGAGAAAGCTGAAGTTAAACTGTCGACAATATTATTATATCTGCTTCCTATTTTGTCAGTCTTAATTTTGGAATTTTTAAGTCCAAGTGGACTATATTGAACAAAGATAATTAAAACTATAACAATACTGTTCAATATAGTCACTTTACTAATCGTCAGAATTTCGAAGTCGAGCCAGACTATATTAAACGGTGATAAAATGTTGCAGAGTCAGACGAACGTTTTAAACGAAAGTCTCATAATTTTTCAATTTCTCAATTGAACTTACCCGCAGAAGATGAAAAATCAAATTCTTAAATTCGCGTTTGAAGGATAATACTTACGCAAATGATTCGTTTCGCTCTTCAGTCTCGTAACCAGGATGTTTTCCACCTCTCCTCTTTGCTGTGCGTGGTTTTTTTCTCTCGTAAAACAGTAACCTGCGCCCACTTCAGCTCGGCACCAGGGTTCAGCTTAGCCCTTGTTCGTACGAGCAATTGGACGAAGAGTAAACGCGAAACCATTTCTCGTACGCGGCTTCCACAAATTAAGCAATTATCCGGACGCATGCTCGAGACCACCTTTCCTTCGGTTTCTTTTCCCTCCTTGCTGTTTTGCTTTGGAGTTCGATGAGTGGAGAACGAGATACACACACATACAAAGGCTGCTGGAATTTTCGACGTTCTTGGAATTTGTCCGCCTTCGTCGCTCATTTCCCAACAGTCAGGAGTTGGGCATTATTCGAATAAAATTCTATTCGAATAACATTTCGAATAAATTATTCGATATTTACGAATAACGATTTTATTCTGGTAACGGTTTTATTCTATTAGGTGATCTTCAACACATAGGACACGATAAAGCATTGGATATCGGATCTATCCTAATTAGTCAATGCTCGTATTGCTTATCAGTATGTTAATATCTCGGCGAGGTCGGAACGAAAAATTCGCTGGAAAAATAAGGAAGAAAGGGGATAGCCTAGATGTCAGAACGATATTCATGCATTGATAATCAGTTTTTATGGAAAGTACACTTCGGAATAACGAAACGTTTTACTATCGTGAACGCATGTTCATTACGAGAAGTCATGAAACGCTCGCAGTACAGCCCCCTCGTAACCGAGTTATTTTATGTCGGATTTCTCGCGATGGGGTTTTTCGGAACCACTGGAGCCGAATTACAAAGGACGTTAGACTACAAGAACAGAACTTCGTCTTTTCGGACGAAGCAGTTGACACCCTGACAACGAAATTTGGAAAATCTACTTTAGTGTAATGTCACTAACATAGTAACAACGAATGAAAGAAGAGTGGAGAGAAGATGACCTTAATTTCATTTCAAGTTTTAAATAAACGTGTCTTTGTACAGAATGCGCTTACAGTGAATTTACAAATACTAATTATCTTATAATTAACTAAAAGTAAACGCACGAAACTTAAAATTAAATGCACGCAACTTAAGTCTAAGACGCACGCATCCCACGATGTCCATGCGAGATCCCTCGTTGTCCATCGGTGGCCCGCTGGGAGCCTAATAGTTTACTTATGAACTAATTGTACCTACAGTTCAGTTTCGACCGTGAAATAGAGAATGGAAAGAAATTTTCACGATCT